ACTGTATAAGATCCTCCTTCCAAGAAGAGGTTTCATGGTCAATCAAGTCGGCAATCATTACTGGAGTGAAGTCAAGATCTGGGTCACCTTGCACCCTGAAGTTTGACATATTTGGGACCCAAGGCTTCGTCTATTTGTTGATTGAGTGATCATTTCCTGCAAGATAACAGGCACCTTTCTAGATGATGGGTTTGCATGCTAATATTTGCGTCCAGATTGTTAAGTCCTGAGGTTGAGCTTGAAAAGAGAGGAAAGGCATTCTAGTGCAGTATTTTCTATTGAAGTGAGAGGTCCAATGTTTGGGACTATTGGTAGTGAGTTGTCATCCCAACTTAGTAATAAGATATAGACTAATGTCATAGGTTTTTCTAAAACCCAAACCACCTGCTATTTTTGGCATGCAAATGAAATCTCATGATTTAGTACACGTAGTATGATGATCTTCTGTGTGTCCCCACCAGAAGCTTCTGATTTTACTATCCATCTTCTCACATAGTTCTAGGCAAGAGGAATGATTACATTGCATATAAGGGCATTGCCAAAGCTGTAGATTTTATAAGAGTTGCCCTCCCCGCATATGGGAGCATTTTCAATTCCAACCTTGTAATTTTATGTCTATTTTCTGAAGGATGGACTTGAATGCTCTGGTTCTGGATCTACTTATCAATAGTGACAATCTCAGATTGAGAGGTAACATTGTTAAAGTCCTCTATGAATAGAGCAGGCTTACATTTCATGTCTAGTTTCTGAAGGATGGGTTGGAATGCTCTAGATCTAGATCTACTTATCATAAGTGGAAATCCCAAGTATGTGGTAGCACTGTTAAAGTCCTCGATGAATAAAGCAGGCTGCGTAAGGTCACTTACAATATTTGTCATGGTGTCCTAAAGTTTGTATTGCTGACTCTTATAAGGGGGTGCATAAACACAATAAAGTATCCATTGAACCTGGATTTGATGTGAACTATAGCTGCGATGACATATTGATTAGAGAAAACAATGTCCAACTGAACACCCTTTTTAAAACATAAGCTATGCCTTCTGAAAGAACTTTTGCAGGTTGAATTTCAAATTGGTGGAAACCTAAGCTATTGAGGATTTGTGTTTTTTTAGTTGTATTTTTGTTTCGGGTAGGAAAAGAAAATCTTGTTGAAGATTCCCTTATTTGCTCCCTTAAATGGCGAATTGTCGAGGCATAAGACAGCCCTCGACAATTCCACACATAACCTATCATGGCGAAGTGGGGGCATGGTCAAGCTTGCCTCTTTAGCCGTTGAAGTAGCTTCCTCCGTCCAATCAACTTAAGTTTCAGTTATCTTCTCTATAATCACTCTGGTCCTAGTACTAATAGCTCTCTGGCTCATGAATTTTCTTACTATTTTTCTTGCAAAATTGGGTGGCTCCCTGATGGAAGGATCCACTATTGCAATCATTTCTTTGCCCACACAACTTTCTTGAGCTCTTTCAATTTCATTTGGATGCCTGACGGCAATCATTCCATCCTCCTTCCGGTAGAATTTTGTGGCTTGCTGGTACATTATATCTTCAAAAATGCTACATTTGAGAAAGTCTATGAAACACAATAACACTATAGTGATCAATTATGGTGAAGGATTATAGGTCTTTATGGGAGATTCATCGAAAGTAACAAGGTCCTCTGGGTCTTTGTGTTTTTTGTGCAGTTGTTGGAGGTCGTTGTCTTGTTGAGAACTGGGTGATTTAACAGCTTCAGTGGGTATTTTATCTGGGAGGGTGGGTTCCTTTTGGGTTGGTTTTTGTGAGGGATATAATGAATAGGTTGGTGGGTTGGGGTTTTTGTTTCCAGAGTTATTTGAGATTTGAGTCATAAGGGTTTTTCTCTGTTTTGAGTGTGAGTGTATGGTGTTTGGATTTGGACTATGGTATATGGGTCGTAGCCCATCTATTTTTTGAATATTTCATGGGGGTTTAGGGATTGCATATGCTGAGTCAATGTTAGATCTGGTTGTGGGTTATATAAGGGGGATAGCAGAGATGCACGGAGATTCCTCAATTACAGTGTGAAGCTATTTCAATCGCAGATCAAATTGGAAGTCGAATTGAGTTTCAAAAATATAATTGGTAATGTTCTAATGCTTGATTTAATATGTCTGTAATTGTAATATATATATTAATTTTCAAAAATTGATAAGAAATTAGAAAATTATGGATTTGCGCTTGAGATAACAAGCACCTTCCATGGTGCTTGCTGGTGGTTTATGAAGGCCCTCTTGCTACATGAACATCACCCAGCTTCTTGGGGGGTTTAACTCAGCACTTTGGTGGTAATGAGAAGGGGAAAAATGGCTGAAAGAGAGAGAAAGAGAATAGAGAAGTTTAGAGAGAGAAATCTTTACTTTGGATTTTTTGGGTTTGTTATAGAGATCACTTAGAAGGATTTGAGGCATACTTCTAGGCTAATTGGGATGATAAGAATCCATTTATGCTATTAGTTTTTGACTTAGTTAACTATAGTTGCAAGAATTTGATGTTTTAATTTTTGGGTTTAAGGGTTTCATAAAACGGGTATGTGAATTCGTATGGTTTTAGTTTAATTGGTTGGCATGGATGTGTCGTGGGCAGGTTTTGGAAAATTTGGTGGTGGTTTTGAGGTATGCTGTGACTGATTGTGGTATGGAGGTAGAGATGAAGTTTTCGGTTATAGAGGTTTTTTATTTCCGTGGTTAATTTGTTTGGGCTTCAAATGATGGGTAGCCTTAGCTAACTTGAACCTTAGGAACTCGATGGTGGTCTCAAAAATTAGTTTAGAGCTTTCTTAGAGGGTGAAAAGTTGAGTTGCAGGTCTAGTCTATGTTAGACAACCTTGTTTTTCAACTTTGACCAAATTTTTGGATGGGTTTAATCTTAATTTGAAGCTTCTAACACTATGGGGTTTGATAGAGTGTCATGTGGTGAGGGTGGTGTGTGATGGACCTCTGATCAATCCCAAATGTTCTTTAATGTCCATACAAAGGTGTTGATAAAATTTCATGTCAATCTGATACCCGGATCAATATGTGGTGTCAAACTTATTTTTAAATTATTTCATATATTATTTATGATCGTGTAACATATTTTGAAATATATGATAGGACATTTGATAATGGCTTAAAATCCAGACCCAGGTTAAGGTTTTTGAGTGCGATTTCTCACAAATTGCCATAACGATCATATTGCTCATATTGAATGAAACTCCAAAATTCTTTTGAATGCAATGTAAGTGCACACAAGTTTGAGTGGTAAAGGGTTTACGTTCCAAGTGAATTCATAGAGGGTTTTTCATTGAGTTCATAAATGTGTGAATGGTCTTCTGGTCTTTGGACTTGGGTACCGAATTGATTGTGGGATCGTATCTTCTTTGGGGTGAAAGTCTCCTAAAAAGTTGGATCGTATTTTCTTATTGACCTGAGTGGTCTATTAGGATGATTTCTCGTTGGCGTGGCACTGTACATTAATTTCTGAACTCTCTTTTATAATGCTTCTGCGGGTAAAGAGTAACATACGTTGCATGCCTAGGCAATCTGGGGTGTGACAGTTTTGGTATTAGAGTTTTCTCATTATTTGAAGATTGCTTCATTTATTGCTTATGAAGACTATTAACGCTCTGATTTGCATGAGTTAAGTCGGGGTGTTACAGTAGTGGTCTTGTGCCACGTGTCTTTCACTTTTATGTGGCCACGCGTTGTCATGTGTTATATTGGTTTATAGGTTTCCGACGTAGTTTCTAGCATAGATAGCTTTTCCAACATGGGATTTGCAATCGTTATTGTTGATTGCCATGGTTGAGCTCTGAGGTGGGGACCAAAACTAGACTCTGCATCTGTTTCTAAAGAGTGTATGCATCCTGTTTTATCATGTCCCACACGTCCACACTTTAGCAAAAATCTNCGTATGCATCCTGTTTTATCATGTCCCACACGTCCACACTACAGCAAAAATCTCCCAATCGTTCATATTTGAGGCTGATGAATTTGTTTCTATTCTCTTTTCTTTGCAACCAGAAATGGCTATGAATTAGTTAGGTTAAATCCAGAGTAACCCTAGTTCGCAAATAGCCTTTCCACAGATTTCCCTATTTNCTTTGCAACCAGAAATGGCTATGAATTAGTTAGGTTAAATCCAGAGTAACCCTAGTTCGCAAATAGCCTTTCCACAGATTTCCCTATTTCAAGCACCATTCTGGTAGTGCTGGTGAACCAAGGGATTGGGATATTTTGAATGCATTTTCAGGGATCACCATATCTAGAGGAAGGTCATGTGCTTAAGCTAGAAATCAGCAGTATGAAAGTCCAGATCTGTTATTGCTTTGGTTTGGACGTTTGGTTTAATGGCGAGCAGTTGGTCTTTGATGTTCCAAGGGCTTTGTCTGATAAATCTTTCATTGGTGAATATAAATATGAATGTATCATTGTCCCTATCTTTGATTTCCATTCAATCTACAGAGTTCCATGCCTTTATGATTATTGTTTTAGGTGTCGTTCTGTTGATGTGCTTATCAGTGAACAACTTCCCAATAAGTAAGATTTGGTCACAAACTCTATTGCATTACTTTCTGGGTCATTGCAAGAAAAAAGACATTTACCGGCGTTTAAATGCCGGTAAATGTAAATAAACGCCGCAAAATATTATTATTGACGTTTGTTATTAACGTCGGCAAAATCTTCGTCGAAAAAATTACCAACGTATAATTAAACGCCACAAAAATTAAAGTGACGTTTACTAAATGCTGAAGCGACGACTTTCTTTTAAAATTTTGATGACCGGAGTAATTATTATTTTTGGTAACTAGTTTCTAGCGTTTAAATAAACGCCAGTAATAATAATTTTTTTTTTTAATAAATCAATGCCAAAAAATCTGCCATACAGTTTGCTTTCCTATAAACATGACCCAAATTGAATTTCAGTGCTCAAAATTTCCAAAATTTGCCTCACCAAAGTCCAGTACTTCTAGGCTCTCAAATGCCCTTTCAAAACCATAAGCACCTCACTTGAATCTTCTCATGGGACTCCACCTTCAAGTCCCTCAAAATCTGTTGTCCTGCCAAAACTTCTGGAGCCTTAGGCTTAGCCCCAAAGGACTGCAATCTGAACACAGTGCATATTCTCAAAATTCAAAAAATTCAAACAAGAAAACAAAAAAACTCAAAAACTTCCCAAACCAAAATAAGCTTCAGCAGCATCCTCCAAAAATAAGCCTCAGCAACATCCTCCAATCCATAAAAAAGCATCTCTCCATTTAACCTCCCCCGCTGGATAATACTCAGCAAAAATACCCCATATCATCAAAAACAACAACTCTCCTCTTTCACTCTCAAACACCCGACAAGACAACAGAACAAGAAAATTCAATTTTCAAAAAATCCTTGCAGAACTTTCTCTGCAGCATCATCCTGAACCTTAGGCTTAAGAGGGAGAGTCACTTAGGCGGGAATTTCGCTCTCTTTTGTTGATGAACCTACATTTAATATAAATTAACATATGAATTCCACATAAAACAACAAAAATGAAAAGCACTAGTGCCAAATTTTCTCACGTGAATCTAAGGTTAAGTCTAGTAGCCCTAAGCTTAAAAAGCTGATGGACAATCAATCTTGAGAATGTTGACAGATTTTAAACTGTGCCAAGCAGCCAGTCAAAACAGAGCATGTTTTGAAAATTGCAATATTACAAAAGGTAAATGGTAGAATTATAGCCATTTCTATAGTGATCCATCACAACATGAAAAAAGAAGAAAAAGATAAAGATAACAATAAATGGCATCAAGAAACAGACAAAGCCTGAGTTGATAAAAAGCTAAATTGGCTGAAAATCCCTCTAGCTTAGTTGTGCTTTTATAAGTTCTACACCACAGAATCAGAAAACAAACAAACCTGTACCCAAAGATGAAACCAGCATCACAACTAAGTTGCTCCATTTTTGTGACTCTTTCAAACCTGGCTGCATCAAGAATTTTTCTCCATACAAGAAACACTCTCCTTCAAAGCTCTCCAAGCATCTCCATTTCCCCTTTTCCCCTCCAAACTCATTTATCATAAAGCACTCAAAAGGGTACTTGAACATACTCAAATAATGCATGAAAAGCCAATACTTGGGTATGTCATCCTTCGATATAAAGTACCCAGGAAAGAGGAAAAATGACCCCATAATGCCAGCAGTAAACGACTTTCCCATGATAAAATTTGGCACTAGTGCACTAAAGCAGGCAACAAAAGAATTTGACATCAAGACAACCACCCAAACCCTATTGTTCTCTAATAGTATCCCTATTTTCTCTAATAGTGTGTCATCATTGTGTGAGCCAATAGTAGCACACTATATCATCTTAATACTATAAAACTTGGTGCATCCCAGATGTAACTTTCATTCAACTTCACTCGACAATTTTAAAAAACTTTCATTCACCTGATCTAGNACTTTCATTCAACTTCACTCGACAATTTTAAAAAACTTTCATTCACCTGATCTAGCCCTTCTCTATTATCCCTTTCAGGTTCGTCACTACTCATTCCACAAACTGGACTTGGAGGGGGAATCCCAAATGCATCATGCAACATTTCTTGAATTTCATCTCCCGAACTAGAGTCACTTGATTCATTATCTCTAGAAACCGAAGCAAATAAACTTTCCCCATGAAAAATCCAACGAGTGTAACTCTCAAGAAACCCATCTACAATCAAATGCTCTTCCAAAAGTTCCACTTTTACCGATCTAACATAACAACACTTTTTGCATGGGACGTGAGTTCCAATGCATTTGGTTTATTTTCACATGCAAATTTGATAAAATTCTTAACTCCTTGTTCATACAACGGATTCAGTCTATGTAAATGTATCCAACTCTTATCCATAAACGTATTCCAATATGATATGCTTGCAAATCTGAACCATCAAATACATGTGGTTTCAAGATACCAAAATAATCATACAAAAAAAAAAAAAAACAAGGAAAAAAAAGAATAAAGCAACGTAATAATCACCACTCTTTTTATTTTCCAATATTAGGCAATCCAAATAAAGCCCAAAAAAATATTAAAATCACTTGCTATAATTAAATCTAACTGCATTATCCTTTTTTTTTTTTTGGGCATATAGTCTAATTCCTCAAATTTGATGAACAAGGAGGGAAAGCAACGAGTTTGATGACATTCATTTCATAAACGTAGCCAGTGAACCAAAAAGATATCACAAATAGTTCCTTACAAATTTACACTAATCACACTCGATTAATTATTTAAATCATGAGTTACAGGAAAAAAAAAAAAAAACAGCTAGAAGCTCAAAGCAAATTATCAATTCTATGAAAGCATTAATCAGGGGATAAAATCGTTGGAACTGTGGTAAATAAATTAATCACATAAGCAAAAAATGGAATCACAACTTACAGGATCTGGATGATCCTTTGTTTTGTGCTTATGTCCGCCGGTGCAAACCCAACTTCCATCCTTATCTATGGATACAAATCCTGATATATTACTAACAGATATCACCACTGCCTCCCTATATATCGTGCCACACAATGTACAACCCAATTAGAATCCTGGATACTAGACTATAAGAACGGGAAATGAAGTTCTGAATTCTATATTTTTATGCTGATTTTGTTCTCAATTGTTAATAAAATAATCCAATCAACTAATTAGAAAAATGATCTCACTAAGCTTAACGGAGTGGTGTGGATGCCGGTGTTTTCTCGAATTTCCAATAAACAGAAATCTATAGCCTAAAAAACGAAAAAAAACTGAACTCAATTTAAAGACAACCAAATCCTTTAGTTCATATGTGTAGAAATATGGGACAGTCGGAGATATAATCCTTTGTCAGCAGATCTATATCGCAATAAAGTGGGAAAAAAAAACAAACAAGAAATATGAATATGATGTTACCTCAAACAAATCGTAGCTGTGAGCTCAGGTCGGGAGATCAGGTCAGGAGGTCAAGAAAGACACGAGAAACTCAGAGAACCAGGGGTGGAGCTCTCCTTGGGGAGATCGTAGATGAACCAACCAGAAAACAGCTGGATGACTGCGAAAATTGAGCCTCGTGCATGAAACTCTCAACCAACCAAGATTCTATCCTAAAATCAAGGAGGATCCCATGAATAATAGGCAAAGATCTCGGCTGAAATCCCACGGAATAGGGGGCAGCCTTATAAATACTATGTAATGCCTCTATAGAGAAAGAAAAAGAAGAAAGAAAAACCCTAATTTCGAGAGATACCGTATTGTAATACATTTTGAGTATGGAATAGACGAGAGGGAGCAAGAACCTCTATTGAAGAGTGGACTAGCCAAATTTCTGAGCCGGTGAACCACTATATTTTCACTGTGTACATCCATTTAATCCTCTCAGTATTTCACTACAGCATCACACACGAGCCTTGTAGCTCTGATCCACACTCATCACACGTCATTTGCACATTTTGCTCATCCACGTTGATTTAAGCCATCAGTTTGGCGCCGTCTTTGGGAACGATTGTTCCTGTTACAAATAAGCTGATCTTTTAGTGACTGATGGTGTCAACATGAAACATGAGCAGAAGCCAAACAAACCCATCTCGGATGCAGACCAATAGGGAGCCACCAATGGCAGACAGCCCGAGAACGTCTCAGAGACTGATCCTCCCATGGGGAATCCCCTCACATATAACTAGATGGAGGCCCTTCGCCTCGTCAATCAACGCTTGATAAAGCAAAACGAGGAGCTCTTGAAGCTCTTACAGCGCCCACATGAGGCACGTCCGGCCCAAGAAGGTCAGAACAGCCCCCACTACAGGGATCAATAACACCTTGATCCACTTAGAGAAGACAACGAGGGGGGGGGAGAACAGCCAGACCTTGGGACAGGTTCCCCAACTATCCCCTAGGAACGGCCACAATGAGGAAGTACAAAGTCAAAACCATGAAAGAGAAAAGAATGATGTCTTCCCTTATTAGCAAGAGAGAAGGGAGCAATATTAGGAGCAACACTTCAAGAGCATCCAACAGGAGCTCAACCACATGAAAGAAGCAGTCAGAAGTAAAGCTCTAGTTACAATGGACGCTTTGGTGCAGTAGACTGAATCTCTATTCACGCCTGGGGTGTTGCATTTTCCCCTCCCACCAAAGTTCAAGATGCCACAAATAGAGTCCTTTGATGGAACTAGGGACCCTATGGACCACCTCAATATTCATAAGAACTAGATGGAATTGCATGGGTATTAGGATCCCATACGCTGTCAAGCCTTTGCCATCACTTTGAAGAGGCAGCCGTGGCATGGTTTAATAGGCTCCCCCGACCTCAATCTCTTCTTTCAAAGAGCTTTCCATTTCCTTCGTATCCCACTTCATAGGGGCTCGAACCTATAGAAAGTCGAGCTATCACCTTTTGAATGTGAAATAGGGACCACAAGAAAACCTCAGGTCATGTCCAAAGATTTAATTTGGAGTCGTTAAAGATGGATGTCCCAAATGAAAATTTCGTCATCACTACCTTCATAGCTGGTCTAGGGGTGCAGTCTAAAGATTTGATGTTCTCCATATCAAAAAATCCCCAAGCAAGCATGGCCGAGGTGCTTGCCAAAGCGGAGAAATACATAAACAGCGAAAAAGCTCTTCTTTCTAAGGTAGGGAGCTCTTCTACACATAGAGACATGGGAGGGAAGAGAAAAAGAGGAATCCAAGTCCCAAAAGAGAGAGAGAGAACGAAATAGATCTCCGAAGAGAGATAGATCTCCCAAAAGAGACAAAGTGCGATCCCCAAAAAGAAGGGGGAACGTTAGGGACCGTTTAGGCCCCCCGCAACCTGAACTACAACCAAGGTATGCACCTCAACAATATACCCCTCTCACTATGACAGTGTCCTAGATCCTGTACGAGGTGCAGAACGAGAAATTCCTAAGGTAGCCTCCACGAATGAAGGCAGATCCATCTAAAAAAGACCCTGCGAAATATTGCGAGTATCATAGGGATCATGGCCATCATACTGACGATTGCATCCAGCTAAAGAAGAAGATTGAGTTCTTGATCCAGAGAACACAATTACAACGATTTGTTGCCCATGACAACTAGAACAGGACTCCACCACCACCGGCACCCCAGTAACAAGCCCCTGTACAGCACCAGCAACCCTTAGGAGAGATCAAAGTGATATCTGGAGGATTTGCTGGCGGTGGAGAATCCAGTGCAGCCAGGAAAGCACATCTGCACAGGATCAGAGCTGGCGAAGCGCTGGAAGTACACACCGTATCCAAAATACCTCGGCTGAACACAACCATCACTTTCTCGGATTCAAACTTGGAAGGCTATCAGTATCCCCATGATGACCCTTTGGTCATAAGTGCTATTGTGGTAAACCAAACTGTTCATTGAGTTCTAATTGACAATGGGAGCTCGGCCGACATCATTTTGCCTCTGCCTTTGACAAAATGGGCGTAGGAAGGGAGAAGCTTGAGCTAGTGAATGCTCACCTGATGGGGTTCTCAGGGGAGAGGGTGCTACCCCTAGGATCCATCCAACTCGTGCTCACTATGGGGGACCCTCGTCAAGCCACCACCACTATGAAATTTCTGGTCGTAGACGCCCCTTCTGCGTACAATATACTACTTGGGAGACCATCCTTCAACGCAATGAAAGTCATCCCTTCAGCATATCACCTGGTCGTAAAAATTCCTACAGAAAATGGAGTTCAAATGGTCCGAGAAGACCAGCAAATAGCCAGGCAGTGCTACATGGCCTCAGTGAAGCAAAAAGATGTTGAAACTATCCAGTTAGATGAGCTTGACATGAGGGACGAGCTGAAAAACCAGGCCCATACCGTCAGAAGAGCTAGAGCTAATCCAGCTCGATGAGGAGCCTGAACATATTGTTTACGTGGGATCCAAGTTAAGCAAAGAAATGATAGACCTACTCACCTAGTTCCTAAGAAAGAACATGGGGGTGTTCGCTTGGAAGCAAGAGGACATGAAAGACATTAACCCCTTAATCATCACACACAAGCGAAGTGTGAATCCCATTTGCAAACCTGTTAAACAAAAGCGGAGAAGTTTTGCGCTGAAACACCAGAAGGCAATTAATGAGGAGGTTAGTAAACTCCTCCACGCCAAAGCCATCAGAGAGGTGGACTACCCTACCTGGTTGGCGAATGTGGTGTTGGTCAAGAAGACCAATGGGAAATGGCTGCTCTGCATTGATTTCACTAATCTCAATCGAGCATACCCCAAGGACAGCTTTCCCTTACCTCGAATTGACTTAATCGTGGATGCAACCGCTGGACATGAGCTCCTCAGCTTCATGGATGCTTTTTGAGGTTATAATCAGATCAGGATGGACCCAGCAGACCAAGAGAAGACTTCATTTGTGACTGAACAGGGAATTTAATGTTACTAGGTCATGCCTTTTGGATTGAAGAATGCTAGAGCCACCTCTCAGCGCCTAGTGAATAGAATGTTCCAAAAGTAAATTGGGACATCCATGGAGGTCTATATCGACGACATATTGGTAAAATCACTGAAGGCAGAGCTGCACATCGAGCACCTACCATAATCGTTCCAAATCCTCAAAGAGTACAAGATGAGACTCAACCCTGCAAAGTGCGCCTTTGGAGTATTAGCAGGGAAGTTTCTGGGATTCATAGTCAACAGCAGAGGAATCAAGGCTAACCCATAAAAGGTTAAGGCAGTTCTGGATATGCGACCAACGTCTAACATCAGGGAGATCTAACGCTTGACAGGAAGGATAGCCGCCTTGAGTCGTTTTGTATCCAAATCAAGTTACAAGTGACAACCTTTCTTTCAGGTGTTGAATAAGGCTTTTTAGTGGGATATCCGGTGTGAGGAAGCGTTCAAACCACTGAAGGAGTACCTAAGCTCTCCCCCTGTCCTGATATGCCCCTTAGAAAGGGAAACACTTACTCTTTATTTAGCTTTCTCGAATTTCTCAACCAACGCATCACTAGTTAGGGAGTGAGACAGAGCTCAACAACCAGTGTACTGTTGTAGCAAAGCTCTGAGAGGGGCAGATGAGAGATATTCAAAGATGGAGAAGCTAGTTTTGGCTCTGGTGACTACGACTAGGAGACTTAGACCATATTTTCAGGCTCATACTATCGAGGTTCCAACAAATCAGCCAATGAAGCAAATGCTGCATAAAACCAGAGTCTTCAGGAAGGCTAGTTAAGTGGGTGATAAAGCTCAGCGAATTTGATATTTGGTATAAGCCAAAGACTGCAATCAAAGGGCAAATTTTGGCAGAGTTTATCGCAGAATTCACTGTAGTAACACCCGCGGAAGCCACACTACTAATACCTAACCTTTCCGTATGAAAACTTTCGATAGACGAAGCTGTCAATGCCCAAGGAAGTGGCGCAGGATTGATCCTGACCTCTCCAGATGGAATAGACATGGAATACGCCCTCAGGTTTGGGTTTAAGGCTTCAAACAACGAGACAAAATATGAAGCTGTCATT